CGTGGACGTTGTCCGCCGTGATGGGGGGGTAAACGATCCCCTCATCGCCCTCGCCTCCCCTGGGGCGGATGTCAGGGCCATCGGCACCTGTCCGGCACCCAGGGGCGGAGGGGTCCAGGCCCATCAGCTTGATCATGTCGTTGGTGTAGCCGAGCTTGCGGTAGATGGAGGGGGCCACTGAGTCGGGGACTGCGCCGACCCACCACTGCTTCGTGTTGCAGCGCCAGTTGACCTTCACCTCCGCCAGGGCCCCCGGGCCTCCAATGCGGTCCATGAGGGCCTTGTACACCTCTGGGAACTGCTGGAGGCTCTCCACCGGGACCGAGATGCGCTCGTCGCATACCGCCCGCAGGATCATCTGCTCCTTGGAGTCCGCCACGTCCTGGACCGGGAGCTGCATCACCTCCGCCGGGGTGTCCGTGAGGAAGGCCCGGGCCGCGAGGACCTTGCCCATGGCCCGGTAGACCAATCGCCACTCCGGTCCTGTCTGCGGAAACGGAAGGCCCTCCTCCTTCAGGAAGCACCGCGCGTCCTCCTTCAGGGTCTCCCAGCCCTCCAGGCGGGTCTGATTCTGGGCCTTGTTTTTCGGGCCCCGCTGCCTAGGGCCCTGCAGCAGTGGCAGAGACTCCCAGACTCCCCAGAGCTGGCGCAGGGTGTAGCTGTGCCCGAACATCCCCAGTAGGCCTGGGAGTGTCCAGGACGAGATCTGGCGCGTCCAGTGGAAGTCCTCATCCGGATCGTGGGGGGCAGCCCAAAAGATGGATCGCAGGTCCCCAGGGTAGGGTCGGTCCCCCGCCTTCGCCTGCTGGTGCAACTCATCAACGGAGTACCTGGCCCAGGGGAGTCCACCCACCTGGTGGTTCCTGGGATGCGTACCCTTCTCCAACGCCTCCGGATTCACCTTGGTGAGGTTTTTCGCCCAATCCGGGACGTGTACCGGGCCCGGTCGTCGGACCCAGCGGCCCGCAAAGATACGGACCTCTCCGACCCGTTTGCTCATCATCCAGCGCAGGACCGAGAGCTGCACCTCCGGGTCCTTGGTGTCCAGGCCCACCGGGGTGGCGGACGGCTTGTCAGGGCCCTCGGCACCTGAGCTCGTCACGCCAGAGCCCGAGGCTGGGGGGATGGTGGGCGGCCTGTCAGGGCCCTCGGCACCTTTTGGCATGGGGATCCCTGTCAGGTCCGGCAGATCTGACAGGAGGGCCGCCGGGAAGGGATTCCTACCCAGCGAGATGACCGCCTTGGCCTCAAGGTAGGAGTCCGTGAGGGATGTGAGGTCGTCCATACTGAAGTCCCTCCATGCCGTTGTCGGCTCGAAGACCCCAGTCTCAATGGCGACCCGGACCTCACTAGGCCACGCACTGAAGGGAGGCGCGATGGGCTCGAGCATTCTGGTTTCGAGGGAGCCCTTCGCCTGTCTGGCTTGGTGTTTCGCTTTCGCCTCCTCCGCAGTGGTCTGGGCCTGGAGGAGCTCCGGTGTGGGTCTCCCCCAGTCCGCACCCAGCTTGTCCAGCAGCTTCTCACGGAAGAGGTCCAAGTCCAGGTTCTTCAGGAGCAGGCCTCCATCACCTCCTCCGTCAATGGCCCCCCCTTGAAGTTCGTGGAGGACCGCCGCGGAGCGCTCCACCGCTTCCACCTGGTCCGCCTTCTTGGCCTCCTCCTGGGCGATGGTGGTGGCGTTGAGCCGGGTCTGAATCTTGAAGGCCTTCACCGCAGACGGGTGGAAGGCTCTGCATTCCTGGCCCTCTTCCTTGTCGCCTGGCAATGGGGGCCTCTCCCCCGGTGGGGCCGTCAGAAACTCCTCGTCCAGCTCCATGGGGCAGTTCCTGATCACCGCCCGGACCGAGGAGGGGACGAAGTCCGAGAAGCTGGCCTGGTCCGGGTTCTCGCAGGCCATCGGGTCGGTGGCCAGCTCGCTGACGTCCACCGAGGCACTGAGCTTGAGGTCGCGGGCCCGGTCCGTGTCAGGGCCTTCGGCACCCGCGGACCGGGCCGCCGTCCAGACCGCATTGCCCTGGTCATCCACCGTCAACTGCCAATGCGTGCCCGCCATCTCCAGGGTGGCCGAGTTGGTCGCCGTGTCAATGGGCTCCGTCTTCTTGCCGCACCCCATGCACTTCGTGGCGCCCTTCTTCACCCAGGGCATGGTGCAGCAGGGGCAGATCCAGGATGTGGGCACCTTGCCCAGGGGGCGGTTCTCCAGGCCCCCGTACCCCAAGCCAGCGCGCTTGCCAACCTGCTGTCCCGGGGTGCTGAGCCGGGCCTCATGCTCGTACTTCATCTTGGCGATGTAGAAGGCCTCCACAACGCGCTCCAGGCCCCCCTGCTTGAGTTGGGGGCCCTCAAAGCCTCGCAGGAGCCGCTGGACGTCCTTGGCCTGCAGTCGGCGGAGCCTCCGTGGTCGCATCGAAGCAAGGGAAGTCGCCCGCCATCTGGTCGTCGCTGAACTGGTAGAGGCCCTCCGAGACCTTGAGGGCCTTGGTGAACACGCTCCCCCCCGGCGGGGGGGCTGCGGGGTTCTCATCCTCCTCCGAGGACGCCTGCTCCTTGACCTTCGCCATCAGCTCCCGGCGCCTCTGCCACTTGGCGTCTGCCCGGGCATCCAGGCGGGCCTCCTCCAAGCGGGCTGCAGCCGAGGGGAACCTGGGCATCGGCAGCTCCTTCTCGTCCTTCGCCAGGAGCTCCTCCATGGGCACGTCCTCCTCCGGCGGGTTCAGGAGCTCCAGGAACGCCCCTGGGGGGCGTGTCAGGGCCTTCGGCACCTGCGCCACCCCAGGGGCTGCATCTTCCATCGGCTCATCCTCTGCCTTGCGCTTGGCCGGGATAAGGGGGGCCTGCTCCAGCTCATCTGCGCTGGAGAAGAAACGCTCGTCAGGTGCCTGAGGGACCTCAGCAGCCAAAACGGTCCATCCTTCTTCCTCCCTCTTCACGAGGCTCGCCAGGTACTTTGCCATGGAGGCCTTTGCCTTAGCCTTGGCCTCTGCTACCGCGGCACCAGCGTAGGCGGGGGCGTACATGGCTTTGAGAGTAGGGGAAAGAAAGATTTCAAATCACAAGACAAAAGATCAAAAGGTCCACTTGAGCCAAAATGGCTACGGCCCAAGTGGATACTTATTAAGAGTCAAGACAAGCGACCACCTACGGTTAACGCTTTAGCCCAACATGAACCAGGGTTCTGAGGGGTTCCTTGGAAGTGCCAAGCATCTGGACAGACCAAACAACGAAGAGTTGAGGCCTATTGACTGTGGCATTCCGCAACCGTTACATACATGGACAGGTGTCTCTGGGTTTCTGTTGGTCCCTTTGGGCGTCACAAGCAAACTGGCTTCTGCTTTCTGCTCCAACCGCCGGCTCACGGGTAGCTGAGCTCGTCTCAGGCAACTTTGCGTCCTTGGCTTATGCTCGAGGCTTTAAACACCTTTTTAACGTGGAACCCGACTCGGACCCTGTCCGTTTTGAAGGCAAATTGCCTTCCAGGACCTCCTGTCAGGTTCCATGTTAATTGGTGGGAGGGTCAACATTCTCAAAACCCATCAGTTGCCTCTTGGTTTTCAGGAAAGGATCCCTGGAAACAATCAAGAGCGAGCCATCGGAAAGCTTGCAACCACAACTGGTTGCTCTCAACACTGCCCATAGGCACACAACCCGGCAAGGTGGGAACAGCCGAGTCGCAGAACTGAACATGGGCATGTGGGCACGCCGGCAAGAAGCCTTGGCTGCCAAGGAAGATCTTTCGGCTGGCCATGGGCCAGTATAGCCCATAAAGCCTTAGACAGATACTGATCAAACAATTAAACGGCAACCGTCAGACCCGTGCCTAGGCAATCAAACATGCATGTTCAGCCGCTGAAGGCCACAAAGCTCTGGCTCCCCTGAAAAAACGGGCAGGGAATCAACGTAAGCCAAATTTCAGCCAGCAGCGGCTTTGCGGCTTTGCACTTGCCTGTAATTAGGCATGCCTCAAGACTGTCGGCGGGATCCTGACTGTGGCTCTGCAATCCTGAGCGTTTTGGCTTCTTGGTCGACCTGGTTTTCTTCTTGGAAAGTGCTTGGCTTGGCAGGCTGAAGGACTCTGCCGTTTACGGCTCTCTTCTGGACTATCTGCTGCATCCTCTTCACCCTAGGTGGCTCCAGATTCAGCGCGCGAACAAGATCACGGCCATCCATGGCAAAGTGACTTTGCTTGACAGTGCTGGAGCCGAAAGACTGCAATCCGGTCACACTTCAAATCCGTAACACGGATAGGGCGTACACAAAAAGCTTGACATGCGCTGACGCGTGATGTTTTTTTCTGCTGAAGAGCGGCTTTAAGGTGCTCGTTCTCACCAGCCAAGTTCGACGCTTTCAGTTGGAAAACTGCACACAAGCTACGGACAATATTGTTTCTTCCCTAGAGAGCGGGATAAAATGGGCACCTGCCCCCCCACGGTTGGTTTGAAAGATTGACCGTGACTGATAGTGGCTGCCTCGCTCAACCGGATGGTTGACAGAGATAGACCCCCGATTTCCATCCGGCTTCAACCCAATCCATCTTTATTGGTGTGAAGTCGATTTTGTCCATCCACAGTATAGTGCGATAACGATAATCTCGGGCTAGGTTTTGTGGTTGAGTCTTGTTTCACAATCTTTAGTGCCAGTTGTTCGGTGACGGTAGCAAAAAATGGGAACCCCTTGGGGGTTAGTGAAGCCATCAAACAAAAAAAGGGACCATCATGCCACTCGATCAGACCGGGCAGATGCACCAAATCCATGGGAGAGATACCTGGACGCGATTCCCTGTCCACAGTACCGGGGGGGGGAGGCCTTCGATCCGTCCAAGAAACCAGCAGAAAAATATCCTGGAGCCAAGCTGCAGACTGAAGAACCCCCGACCCCTTTAAGAACCCTGGAAAACCAAAACAATAAACAGACCCTTAGGCCAAGGAGGCTTCCTCCGAACAGTTCGCCGAGCAACGCGTCCCCCCTGGGACCAGATGACAGGCAACGCGCGGCGAGTCCGCCTGCAGCGCCGCCTGTTGCGCCTCCTTGGCCACCCTCAGAGTCAGCTGCTGTGCCTACGAAGTCTCAAAAGTTCGAATCCGTGTCGTTCATTTGTTGGTTGGTGTTTGTATTTGTCCCCTTTCAAAGGATAACCACAAGGAAGCCAGCCATAGATTTATTGGTTGGAAATTCATTGATCTGTAGGTTGGCGCCTATACTTTGTCTTCGTTCTCAGCCGGGAATGAGAAATGGAATGTTCACTTTGAACTATGCCTCGTGGTTTCCTTTCAGGGGACACCTTGGTTCGTTCCCAACACCCGCCATTACTGAGCAAAGCAAAGGATACCCACAAGGAAGCCAGCAGGGGTCTATGAGACTATGCGGATCAAAATCCACACAGCGGATGGAGAAGACTCCGGTGTCCGGGGCGCCTGCGATCCCTTTTCGCTGGCCGCAAACCCAAAAACAAGGGTCCGGGCCTGCCTGAGGTTTTGCTCATGTTTTTGAGGCGAAGGGTATGTTTTCGGGTGGGACACCAAAAGGAAACCATTGTGTGGGTCCCCGAATTGTGACCCATACCCACATGTTTGTATGTCGAATCAATCTCCATCCTTGCTGTAGGGGAAGGCTGGCCGCCCCCATGGTTTCATTTGCGTGTGCGTGTTCCCTGCCGCGAAAGGATGAAACAAGTATACCAGTCATGACAGTTTCCTTCTAAAGCAGTTAGGACCTAGATACTTCTCGAAAGAAAATGAAGACATAGCAGAACCTCCCGAGCTTGTCAAGTCCCCAAGTCCCATCACCGTGCAGGAAGCCTCCTGTGACTCGCTTCGAACCATTTTCAAACATCCACGGTCAGACGTTGACCCCTGATTGATGACCCCCCAACTTATTTAAATCAGGGGCCTGGAAGAGAGGACCAAGAAGTGATGAGTTTATTTGTGACGAGTCAGCACTACAATTAAGGGCCCCTCAGTTGGCGAGATGTGAGCTCGACACAAACGAGCCAGGAGCCTTACCTGCTGCACCCGGAACGATTTGAGTTCCCCAAAGTCACGCGACCAAGTCGTCCTGGACTGAATTCGCCCCAATTCCGAGAACTGTACACTCCCTCACACTAACATGAAGCTACCAGAAGGCCTCTGTAATTGGAACCAAGTCTTCCAAGGGCTGGGCTGGGGGAGGATAACATGTCTCAAAAAGTACGACGGGAAAAACAACTATACACTTGCTTGCCCCACCGGGATGAGGTTCATGTGAGCCACTTTCTATCTTGCGCGGGTTCAGCACCCAGACCGGCCACGATGCCTCGGGGTCCACTTCCACTGCAAAGTCCTGGCCAAAAACCGCTGGTCGAGTGTCCTTGTTTGAGGCTGGGCAGCGTCTTCGCGGTGTTGAAGGAAAGCAAACAGGAAACCACCCGTGTGTTGGGGCCCCCTATTTTGATCCATACCCATGTGGAACACTGAAAGGGAGTGGCGGGGGCTTGCAAGCCCTTTTCTGATGTTGACTTCGCCATGTTTTGGGCAAAGAAAGCCGTCAAACATCCCAAAGTCTGCCTCTGCTCCTTTGGTGGACATGATTTGGCTGGGGATTCATGTCCACCAACCACTCTTGCGGTGGTTCTCTACTTAAAAGAAGAAACAAATCACCACATCTTGCCCTGGAAATGTTGATCGAGCCTGGAGCCTGACGGGTGCGTCGAAGGCTGGAAACCGACGCCGATTTGGAGGGGTGAAGATCGTCAAAGCCCCCGAAAGGGCCGGTTTTTCCCAGTTCCCTTCAGGGATGTCAGTGCCAAATCGGGGCCATGAAAAGGTTTGATGTTCGCGATCCTTTGAATCCACCAAGGACCCTGCATGGTGAGGTTGGCGTCAAAGGGAGATACCCTCCCTTCCACATTTTTTCCATGGCACCTGACAGGGGGGTCCCTCCAAGAAATTCATCTTCCAGGTACCCTCCCACAGTTGCCTTCTGAGGGGGGGTAGCCTTCCAGGTTCTTGGCCGCAAAACAAACAGATTTGACACCAATCAATGTCCCCTCTCGGCTGGGGAAAGTTTGCGCAATGTCCCTCCAAAGACACCATAGACTACTGGAAGGTGTCCTTATGGAACAACTGATTTCAGCCGAGCCGAGGCTGAGAGTTCGTCGTCTCCTGGTAGAGGGGCAGCTGGCCCAGCATGCCATCCAGCTCGATGCCCTCGAGTGGTTGAGGTTTCGTCGTTTCGTTTTTTGCGGCTGGTTTTAAGCGTCAACTGGCTGGCCCATGAGTTTCCCATGGGGATGATGTTTTAAGGAAGTAATGGGTGTGAGTCTTGGAGGGTGTGAGTCCGGTCTCAAAGGGGAACCAAAAGGGCAACTCATTTGGGGCTCCTGCTATTTTTGACACAAACGCGATTGGCTCGTAAGGATTTGATGTTTGTTCCAAAAAAGCTAGACGTGATAGCTCCAAAAGCAAGCTTCGACCCCCCACATCTTCACTTTAGCGCATCAAGTACATATAGTTAAACATGTTGCTGGATCTATCCGATCTGTGGGGAGCTTTTTACATGACTTGCTAGATGTATCCTTGTGCCAAATGGGTCCATGTGTTTCGCCACAATGGTAGGTGACTCGGGTCTTCTACCAGGATTTGAAATCATGGATCGTGTCCTCTGGATACTTTCTGGGTCCGATCAAGTGGCATCCTCGAAATCACCTGCAACCGGTGGTTTAAAGGGTCCCTCCCCCCCCCCAAAAAAAAAAGCAAGAGAAAGAAGGAGCAAGCTTGAGGACCCCAAGCCACTTTCAGGCACCCAAGTTTTCTCAAGATTCCCTATGCTTCCCCTTAGCATCCGGGAAACTCACCTACCGTGGACCAAATCCACCAGAAGAGCGCAGGAGCGTCCCATGCGTCAGCTCCGCGCCTGCGCCTTCGCCAGCTGCTCCTAGACTAAAACAACGACCGGGATGTGTGCCTAAGCATCATTCATGGGGCTGGGGGGGGAGGGAGGGGAGAGGGAGCCCAAATGAGCCCTTATTAATAAGGCCTTATTTAGGGCTTATTTGGGCTCCCTCCCTCCCCAGCCCCCATGATTCTAGGAGTTGATTCCTTTTCCATTCTTTTAAACCATCGTTCTGTTCAGAAACCAGCGGGTTCCCTGGGTTTTTGATGGTCTGAAAAGAAGGACCCCTGGAAAGAATGGAAATGGAAGGTAGCCCTAGGATCATAGAAGATTGAGCATTTTCGAGCAGTTTGAGCTTGCAGTTTCCTGAGCTGCTTGGAACACTGAAGTCTCGCTCGCTGGGTACCCGGGAGGAGCTGCAAAGAAAAGGCCCCTGCAAGTGGGGCATGTGTGTGTGTGTGTGTGATCAAAAAGGAAGATGCCGGTCTTCAAACTTGGGACCTAAGAGATGGCGGGTAGCCGCACATTCATGCGATGCTATCGAAGGGTTCTGAGAAAGATTCTGTGGGTAGGGGGTCGTTCATGATTGGCCCTATTTGACACCATCAAAACCTTAAGGCTGCCATAGGCTGCCATTTGGATGATCAATCCAGTCTCGCCTTGTGCTCGCCACGACGTTGTTCGTTTTGCCGTGAGTCGATGCGCCAACCTGAAAGTCACCACAGCCTGGACAGAAACTTCTTGAACCGCAAACCTAAAACCCTCAACAGCAACCAAGTCCAAAAAAGCGGCCAAAGCTGGGCTGGGTTGTCCTTGTTGGCCAAATGGTGCCATCGAGGCCGTGTGCATGTTTTGGGCGTTCTCCTTGAACATCAGCCAGTGTGTGTGCGTGTGTGTTGTTTTGCAGTGGGTCTTGGTTCCCCGAGGTCCGCCCTTTTTTTTTCTTCGGGCGGGCTTAACCAAAGCCCCAAAAAAGGCGCTCTCCTTCCCCCCCCAACGGGAGGTTCCTGAAGCCCTCCGATTCCCACCGGGTGAAAAAGGCCTACCCAGTGCTTCCAGGCCTTTCGCCACGTCAATCATTTGAATGGGGCCGATAGTTTTTGGGGTAAACCGAATTTAGTCATGATGATAAGAGCAAACTATGGATACTATATTTCCAATGACTAAAACAACAAAAACAAACAACACAGAAGCGCGACTGAATACTTTTTGTTTCAACCTCCCTTTGGCTTCCCTTTGGATCCGGAGAATCGGGCCACCCACACCGACCCATGATGCATTGCATCCCGAAAACCCCTGACAGCACGCGGGCCGGGGCAAGAAATAAAGGTACCATTTATGCAATAGGCAACATGGAGCTAGATACCAGAGTTTTCGAGACTCAAAAGATGTTGTGGATTCAGGTACCATGTCAGCGCGGTGTTCCGTTTCTGGCTTCCTTCTTGAAACTACAGTACCGGTTTTCTCCCAAAAACCAACTCGCAGAAGCCCCCAACTCAAGCCGCCGGGGTGTGTCCAGCGCTCGGGAATTCGGTCCTGGGTGAAAGGCACCACCGTGGCGTGCAGCGGGCCCGGCAGCGGCACGCTGGGCCGAAAGCTCCGGCGCTGCAGCCTGGTCGGTGGTAGGGAATGCAATCCGAGTCCGGGTTTTGGGGGTTTCATAGGGGATTGTTTAAAGACCAAGGTGAGTAGGTTGCAACCATGGTTGGTCGTATCTGGGGCTGTGAGTAACGTCCGCAGTCTTTCCGTATCCCCGCTAATCAAAGGGAGCCCAGAACTAACCAAGGAGACCATGGGTCTAAGGGGACACATGGGCTTGTCTTTTAAAGATCCCCGTTCAAACGTTCGCTGCAGAGAAAGAGACACCAACCATCATGTGACGGATTCTTCCGAAATGAAGCGACTGCTAAAGTATACCTACAGGTTTTGACTTGGCTGCGCGCGGTCTTGGTACTCGTCAATGCCATTCTAAACTTATCAGCATGGGCGACAAACAACTCGCAAGGAACTCGTAACTGCCATTGTTTCATGCCAACCACTTTTATCTTAGGAAACACACCAAGCGGGTTCATTCTGTAGATTCTACAGGGTAACTCCCATGTTTGTTCGCCCATTGTTTTGAGAGTCTCAGATCCTTGGATGGCGAGTTTCCGAGAATGCTTCCTAAGCAAGGGTTGGAAAGTGTAAGAGGATTTCAAACTCGCACTCTACCTTTCCGGTTGGGAAGGTTTCCTAGGCCAACATGCTTTCAACCCACCCAGTGTTTCCAGGCAAGCCATGGCTACACAAAAGAAGCCATGATAAACCAAGAGATAAGACGCTTGAAGGGTTATACTGGCGAATGGAGCCCTTCAAAAAAACTTTTCAATTTTGCGACTCGCATCACGGTCACGAGTAGCGGCGATTTCGATTCGGCCTCATTCCACTGTTCTTCTCCACCAAGCTATCACCCTCCTCCTGGAACTCGTAGAGCTCGGTCTTGGCCAGCACCCCTGCCAATCAAGTCCGAAAAGAAGCCATGAGGCATTCACGCATATACATATGTATATATATATATATGCTATTCCCCCCCCAAAGATCGACCATTTTCTGCATTTTGAGAAAGATGCGGTGCATTATTGCAAGAAACAGATGTGCATATGCTGGGGTCGACATTCAAGCGCAGCGTTGTTGAGGACGGTTGCAAAATTGCGCACCTGCCAGGGCTGCAACACTGCAAGGCTTTGCAAAACTGCAGCCCCTGGCAACCTGAAGTTTCAAAACTTCAAGAGTTTCCAAGACACTGCCCAAGCAAAGCTGCCAAACTACAGACCTGGCAAAGCAAGTCTGCTAAACTGCAGGCACTGCAGGCCTTGGTTGCAAAACAGACTTGGCAGGGCTTCAGCTCCAACACTGCAAGGCTTTGCAAAACTGCAACCCCTACCAACCTGCCAAAGCACTGCCCAAGCAAAGGTGCCAAACTACAGACCTGGCAAGGTTGCAAAATTGCAAACCTGCAAGGTTCCAACACTGCAGGGCCAGCTCCAACACTGCAAGACTTTCCAAGCAAGTCTGCTAAACTGCAGGGCCCTGGCAAGGTTGCAAAATTGCCAACCTGCAAGGGCTCCAACACTGCAGGGTTGCAAAACTACAGCCCTTGCCAACCTTGCCAACCTGCCAAAGTTTCAACACTGCAGGCTTCCCACTTGCTGCAAGGTCTGCCAAACTACAAATAAGGCTGCAAAATCCAAACTGCAAGGCTCCAACACTGCAGGCACACCCAACTGCAAGGCTTTTCAAGCCTGCCAAGCAGTCTGCTAAACTGCAGAGCAAGGTTGCAAACTACAACCTCTTGCTAACTCAACACTGCAAGACTTCCCAAGCAAGGCTGCCAAACTACAGACCTGGAGGTTGCAAAATTGCCAATCCAATCTGCAACCAACTGCACCAACACTGAACTACAGACAAGCGAGTTCAAACAGAAGTTCCAACACAGGCCTGTGTGCAAAACAAACTTGGGAGCTCTGTCTGCCAAAGCTCCCACACTGCAAGGAAGGCTTGAAACTTGGTTGCTGGCCGCTGGCCCAGCGCAACATTCCACAATTTCCAGCAAGGCTGCCAATCTGCAGGGCAAGGCTGCAAAAAACTGCAACCTGCCAACCTGCCAAGTTTCAATACCCTGGCAAGGGTTCTTGCCACCTGCTACAAGACTTCCACCACCAAACTGGCACTTCCAGCACACTGCCCAAGCAAGCTGCCAAACTGGGTTCCAGCTCAAAACTGCAACCCGCTTGGCAAGAGTTGAACACTAAGGCCACTGCAAGACTTGAGCGCCTCACCTGCCACAGTTTCAACACTGCAGGCTTCCCTGCTGCCCTGGCAAGGCTGCCAAACTACAGGCAAGCAAGGCATTTCCAACAAGAGTTCCAACACTGCAGGCCTTGGTTGCAATACAAACTTGGCAGGGCTGCAACACTGCAGCTCTGTACGCCAAAGCTCCAACACTGCAAGGAAGATGCTCAGGGGCGAAGGGCAAGAAACCCATGAAGCTCCAAAAACCTCGAAGAAATCAAAAAAATCAAAAAATCAGGGTCCTGGGAGAGAATGCCCAGGTCAGAATCTGGAAAAGTGAAAAACCTCGAGAAAATCAAAAAATCAAAAAAATCAAGGCCATGAGAGAGATAGTCACTGGGTCTGGGCATTCTGCTCCAGGACCTTGATTTTTTGATTTTTTTTTGATTTCTTCGAGGTTTATTCACTTTCCGAGATTCTGACCTGGAACAGTGAAAAACCTCGAGAAAATCAAAAAA